GCAGAGTAGAGCGGCAGAATGACTTCACGAGTTTTGCTTACAACACACCTGTTGATACAACCTAGAATCATATTTGCTTTTTTTGCAACAGCATCACACTGTTGACTCATATTCAACTTGTGGTCCACTATGACCCCTAGATTCTGTAATGTGATTTGTCCTTTTCATGTGTGTTCATTTTTTTTAAATTGTATCCTTTGGTATATATGGTTGTGACTATTTTCTTCCATTATTTGATCTGAGGAAGTGGGTCTGGCCCACGAAAGCTCATCATCTAATAAACCATCTTGTTAGTCTTTAAAGTGCTACATAGACCTGTATTTTATTTTTACAAAGTATGTTTCTAGCCCACCTAGTTGAGGGGAAAACCTTGAGGGGAAAAGCTTGACCCATTTGGACCCTAAAGACTGAAATGCATAAGAACATAAGAACGGCCGTATTGGGTCAGACCAAAGGTCCATCTAGCCCAGTAACTTGTCTGCCGACAGTGGCCAGCACCAGGTGCCTCATAGAGGGTGGACCAAAGACAATGATCAAGCGATTTGGCTCCTGCCATCCTTCTCCAGCCTCTGACAAACACAGGCCAGGGACACCATTTCTATCCCCTGGCTAATAGCCTTTCCTGGACCTATCCTCCATGAAATTATTTAGCTTCTCTTTAAACTCTGTTATAGTCCTAGCCTTCACAGCCTCCTCTGGCAAGGAGTTCCACAGGTTGAATACACGCTGTGTGAAGAAGAACTTTCTTTTATTAGTTTTAAACCTGCTACCCATTAATTTCATTTGGTGTCCTCTAGTTCTTCTATATAGGGAACTAATAAATAACTTTTCTTTATCCGCCCTCTCCACACCACTCATGATTTTATATACCTCTATCATATCCCCCTCAGTCTCCTCTTTTCTAAACTGAAAAGTCCCAGTCACTTTAACCTCTCTTCATATGGGACCCGTTCCAAACCCCTAATCATTTTAGTTGCCCTTTTCTGAACCCTTTCCAAGGCCAAAATATCTTTTTTGAGGTGAGGAGACCACGTCTATACACAGTATTCAAGATGTGGGCATACCATAATTTTATACAGGGGCAGTAAGATATTCTGGGTCTTATTTTCTATCCCTTTCTTAATAATTCCTAGCATCTTATTTGCCTTTTTGACCACCGCTGCACTCTGTGTGGAAGTTTTCAGAGAACTATCCACGATAACTCCAAGATCTCTTTCCTGATTTGTCGTAGCCAAATTAGCCCCCATCATACTGTACGTATAGTTGGGGTTATTTTTCCCGATGTGCATGACTTTACACTTATCCACATTACATTTCATTTGCCATTTTGTTGCCCAATCACTCAGTTTGGAGTCCCTCACAATTTGCTTCTGTCTTGACTATCCTAAACAGTTTGGTATCATCCGCAAACTTTACTACCTCACTGCTTACCCCTTTCTCCAGATCATTTATGAATAAGTTGAAAAGGATTGGTCCCAGGACTGACCCTTGGGGGACACCACTAGTTACCCCTCTCCATTCTGAAAATTTACCATTTATTCCTACCCTTTGATTCCTGACTTTTAACCAAATGTCATTGAACCAAACGCAGAACCAAATGTATTATTTTTATTAAAAGAAATCTTGGGACATTGTGGGGCCTGACTCTGGAATGTTTGGAATTGGCAAAAACGCTCAGGAGACCAGAGTAGAATTCTCCACCAAAGGCCTGCTGTGTAATCTTGAGGTAATCACTCCACCTTCTGTTCCTCTGTTTCTCATCTATAAAAAATGGGGAAAAGGATCCTGTGCTGTGAGATTTACTGATAAAAAGTGCTATATAATAGATCATAATAATATTAATACATAAGCTCAACATAAGCAGATTCTACAGGAATTATTATTTTATTTACATGGGGAAAATGGGCATAATCAAATCTGTATTTTTGGGCCCTATTTTGTCACTCTTAATCATGTTCAGTGGCACTTATTCCAACAAGAGGTCCGACAGAGGACAGTGGGATAGCTCATTTTAGTAATAGCTGCTCTGTGTGATTTAAGGTTGTGGGACTGGGCCCAGAACAACCACATGTTTGGAATCTGAACATTTATGAACCAGTAAAAACTGTAAATATATCAAAGATTCTTGCATTAAACTTGACATTCACTTATTCAGGACACCTTTTGGGTATATCCTAAATTTTCATTGACATTAGATCTGGAAAGCCCTTTACTTCTCAGGATCAGATCAGATGGTTGGTTGTCTTTTCTGGAAACACAAAACACTACACACTTTTTACTTGTTGCTTTTCACAGTTCTATAATGTATTATGCCCATTTTAGCTAAAACACAAGGTGGCAATAGAGAGTCACATTCATTATTAATACTGACTGATTTCACTCTGGGACACTGCATCCAGGCAATGTTGCATATTTAGGGAATGTGCCAAATTAGCTTTTTAGCAGTGGAGCAGCATAAAAGTTTCTTTTATACCTGAGGTACATTATAAAAATGTCACAGACATAGGAATCAACATGGACATACAACTTTTACCTGTTGTACTGTACTTACTCTGTTTGGCTGTGTCTACACTGGCATGAATTTCCGGAACTACTTAATACGGAATACTATTCCGTTTTCAGTTTTTCCAGAAAAGGAGCATATACATTGGCAGGCTGCTTTTCTGGAAAAGCCCTTTTTCCGGAAAAGCGTCTGTGGCCAATGTAGACGCGCTTGTCCAGAAAAGAGCCCCGATCGCCATTTTCACGATCGGGACTTTTTTCCGGAAAAGACTACTGGGCTGTCTACACTGGCCCTTTTCTGGAACAGTGTTCCAGAATAAGGACTTATGCCCGAGCGGGAACAGAATAGTTTTTCCAGAATAGCGTCTGATTTTGTACAGTAAAGCGTCGTTGCTTTTCCAGAAATTCAAGGGCCAGTGTAGACAGCTCGCAGCTTATTCCGGAAAAGTGGCTGATTTTCCGGAATAAGTGGCCCAGTGTAGACACAGCCTTTCTGTAAATAAGAAGGATGGAGCAGGAACTCTGCCCACCCAATTATATTAAACTATGCTGTAAAGGTCTCTCTCTGTCATAACTAGTCTTTCAAAACACAAACGATATGGTCTGTTCTCCTTCTGAATGCAAACTCCCATTGAAGCAATTTGAAAAAATGCAAAACAAATGCAGTTTCAGTACTCAGAGGACTGTTTCCTGCATACTCCCTTCTTCTGCACACAGAACTCCCAGTTGTATCAGAGGGATTTCAATGTAAAGACCAAGGGAAGAATTGCAATCACCAAGTATTTGCATTTTCTTCTCAGGACATGCTTCTACTAACAATAAATACCCTCAATAGCCCATGGATCAAGGACTAAGCCCTCTACCTTACATTTGAAACACTTATTTTTTTTATATTGATCCTCAAAAGCTCAGGTGTGATGCAGCATTCCTAGTGAAATTATCTAGACCATCACTGTATATGAGCACTAGTCTTCTGCAGTTTCACCCTAAATATACTTTCGACCATGTGAAAGTAACAATAACATTAGGCCACTGCGACATTTAAATTATATTTTGTCAAACCAACCAACTAACTTACCCACATTTGCTAAGAGGATTGTGCTAACGCTTCTTGTCACAGTATATTACTTAACATAAAGATTAATTCATGTCCACGGTAGCTCAAAAAGATCCTAGTTATTGGCCCATGGTTTTCAAAGTATGAAAGATCTAATCCTATACTCTACCTGCAGACTGGGGCTAATCCTGCTGGCTTTTTTCGTACTCAGATGAACTAAGGTTTGCCTCAATATGTTTGGCAGGGTTTCTCTTCTTTAATGCATTGAGAAAGAATGAGAACAGGGTCATGTATTGTGGCTTGGTTGGACTCAAAAGTTACAGATTTAAACAAAGAACCAAAATAACATACATTTTGAAATTACTCTTTCTGTAATTCAAAGAAGCCAAAAGCAAACAAGAAAGCCAGGCAGCTAGAGGCAGCTGTCAAACTCCAGTCTCTTTTGACTATGTAAGCTGCTTACTGGATTAATTCTAATCATGCAATTTGTGCACTCAACTACAGACTGAATGGACACCTTGCATTCCATAGGGAAAGCAAGCTCCAACAGCCCTTTTCTTGACATGACATCACTCTGCACTATCTCATTTTGGCTCCACCCACTTCTCATATCCACCTACCAACTGAGCAGTACAGGAGGCAGCTACCAGCTCAGCAGAGGATGCTGTCTCTGACTGCATTGGGTTGGCAACATAGCATAGACAGGCACAAGAGGGTTCCTAACTCTCACAACTGGTCTCACAACTGAGCCCTTTAGCAGAGCCAGGCATTAGCCTAGGATCTATTTAAGCCATCAAGATTATGGATATTGGTTGCCTGTTTGTCTAAAGTAAGTGTTGTTGTAAAGCAGGCTTTTTCTGTCCATAGCCTTCGCGTATAGCCCATCCTGCCACACAAGGCCCCTCACACAAAACCCAGATACTCAGAGGAGCATGGGCAGCACAATGCAGTTTTGTGAATGGAATTTGATCTTATAGGCATTCTGGGACTCACAGGCGCCAAAAAATAGGGAGGTGAGCATGACTAGATAGTGCTTACAGATAAGCCTCATTTGACCGTAGCTTGACCAGTCTTAGGGGCAAGGGAAAAAGTAAACATAGGGTAATAAAACATAATTGTCTAACACTAACTATGCCCCATCTGGTCCTGTCCACGAGGGGATCACGCATACATCACGAAAATTTCTATAGGGCAGTATTGTCATACTACCTCATCACTAGCCTATCAGGCCCTGCCAAATGCAGACCCTAGCATGGCACAGACACCGAAGTTTTGTATAAAAGACCCTCAATCCCTTTGTTCGACGGAGGTTCCGTGTATTGAGGGCACGTGTCTTTTTTTTGCCCGGCTAAAGGATTGATCACCCTGAGGCTGCCTCCCCACCCTTCGAATCAAATATAGGGGTGCACGAGTCCTGAGCATGCTCCGAGTTCTAGTGTGTCTTTGTGTTGTTATCGTTTCTGGATTTGTAAGTATTGCTTAAATGTATTAGTTATTGGTTTAATTAATAGTCAAATTGTGTTAATTTCACTGTGTAATTCTGTAAAGTGTATCTAAGTTCTGTTAACCACGCTGTGTAAATTGTATAATTTTGTGTTGTATAATAGTGTTGTATTTAGGTTAAGTATAAGTGTTAGAAATAGAAGCCCCGGAGTTGTTAAGTTGTAAAAGTAGATTTATGATTAACTCCATCAGCTGTCCTGAAATAACCATAGAGGGGCTGGCTTTGGATGGTTCTTTTATTATCATTATTTTGGCTTTGTTTTTTGTATTTTTTATTTGTATGCTGCGTTGTCTTAGGCGAATTAGGGATAGTGATATAAGTGAATTGTAATCAAAGAATTGTAATCAGTTGGGTATAATTGTGCCCAAGCTTTTCTACGCAGTAAAAGTACTGAGCAATTGCTAGTTTAAACACCTACTTGTTAATTGCTGGTTTTGACCACTTAATAAATATCATTTGTTTCACCATCATCCAGTAGTTTTCACTGGATAGTTGGCTTTAACCCTTGAGGCTCACATCACATCACCGAACCAAGGTGTAACAAGTGTAACTCTTCTGCCAGGCCCCAAAGACAGCCATAAACTCAGGGCAATAGCTGGGGACAGATTCTTTTTGAAAAGCAGCAAGTCTTCATCCAGAGCTGTATCACTACATCTTGCTCTGGGAAATTAAATCATAACCTCCATGATCATCTCCTAGGTTGGTCTTCCCTATTAGCAAGCATTTCAGAATCCTTGGGAACACAAAACCATAAATATTTTTTGGAAAAAACAAGAGCAAATGAGAGAAACAAAGTATAATAATCATATAATATTTACATACAAGTTATTCCTTGAGCAATTCTGCACCAACAAATCAAAAATTCTGCAAAATTCTACATATTTTATTTGTCAAAATAACCAAACATAACCATGCCTGTTTATTAGTTTGGTAATGTATTAAAAGTATGTCTGTAACAATACAAACAACAAACAAAAGATTCCCCCAATAAGTGAAGTTAAATAATCCCCTGTGCCTACAGCAATCCTTACTGCAGGATCCAGGTATAAATTACCCTGAAGTAGGGGAGATGGGGATGAAAGCAGTTGATTAGTCAGTTGAGAGAATGCATTAGCTTTGTGGGGTCTATGCCTTGTCTCTTCCTGGGGAGAAGTGAGGATGCTCCCTGCTTCTCGGAGAGCAAATAGATCCCAAAACCCATTTAGCTGCTCCTAGTCCCTCATCCTTTTTCAACTCCTCCTCTCACAGGTATCTGGCCCCAGGGACTGTTCACCCTCCTCTCATACTCACTGCCCTCTCCTTCAGTGCACAGTCCTATGCCCTCACCTCTTTTCCCTTTAGCTACGTCTAGATTACAAAGAAAAGCTGGAAAAAGATACGCAAACTGCGAACCTCAATTTGTGTATCTTTTTCCGTTTTTCTATCTAAAGAGGCTCTTCCAAAATTTGGCACATCTACACGAAAAACCTGCTCTTTCGACACATCCCTTCTTCCTCGTAAATTTTCAAAAAAGGGAACACGTTCCTTGGACGCGGATTCCTCTGGTATCCCAGAAAAGCACGGCAGTCTAGACATTGCCTTTCCCACCCCACTGGCAACCCCTAGATTTCAGAACCTCCACAAGGCTCCCCCACACACTCCCACATCCACTTCCACCACAGGGTACCCTCAGCTCCCTTCACTACCTCAGGGTCCCTTATGCTTCTCCCTTTCACCCTGACTGATCCCTTCCTTTCCTGCTCCATCCTCAGAGGCCTTAGACCTTAGTGATGCAGAGAGGAAACTGACCACCAGAGAACCCTGACTGTCTGCTGTCTGCATGTAAGAGGCATTTCGAAATAGCGCCTAACCAGGGCCATTCTACGTTATTCCTCCCCAGTGGCTCTAAATCGAGATAGCACATCTACATTAGGGAAACCTGCTTCAGACTCATTTTGAGGCTTCCCTGCAATGTAGAATAACTATTCTAGAATAGCTTATTCTGAAATAAGCATTCAGTGTAGACGTACCCTATTAGAAACCTACAAAACATGTCCTTTTGACTAGCCCCTACTACCTGGGAGAAACTAGTCTTGGTATCTCAGACAGAGCTCTCTGATCCCTTAATTAACTTGAATCCAATTTCAAAATCAGAGTTCACTATCTAGAGGGTTAGGATGGCCCATGTACTGTAGGGTTTATTTTGCACAACTTCTATATCTTTTCCTATGATCAGTAATAGTAACAATCTATTAGCATTTATACAACCACAGCACAGTCCTATTTCAAGTAAAAGAAAAACCAAAGTATGTGGAATTATGGGTAAGCAATATTATAACTTAGGTAAATGATGGTAGCCAGAGCTAGTTTATGTAGAGAGTTTCATTCCTCCATACCTTCTAGTTCTAGTTTGCACAACTTGTCCCAAAACTCAAACTAATCTTTACATGTAGTTAACCCTGTTCCCACCCGTCTATATGCTTCTTGGTTCTGACCAGGAATATAACCAGGAACACAAAATGCAGCTTTGACCATATCCATAAGTTAGCCATGCGTAGGAAGTGCATTGCTATGCCAGGGTCCACCCTTGCACATGATGTAGGTCTTTTAATCAGTGGACAAAATGCCTTCCTCTTTTGGTAGGGCCTTTCATTTATTATCTTTTTTCTACACAATAAAAAGGATGTGGATGTTAATCATATAGAATTCAGAACAACCTAGGTAGATGCTGAATTTTGGTTAAACAACAGAAATTCTCCCTTAATTTCTTTCTCCCTGGGAAGAAGTTTGATCTTTTATAAACCTTTGATTACAGAACAAACAGGTCAGCTGTCCTGGCTAACATGAGGCTTAGCTGGGAGTCCAGCTGCTTTCTTTCAGCTTCAAGGAACTCAGATTAGAATCTACAGTTGGGATTTAACCCCAATCACCCCAGATCACAGCTATCCTGGGAACAGCAGGCACTTCCAATATTCAAGCTAACAGATACTAGATTTAAACAACTTTAGTTTCCTTTAGGAGACCTGCATTACTGGCCAGTTTAGCAATGTTTCTGCTTAGTGGTAAAAGTCACGCTGATAAGAATCTCTTTTGCTAAAGGACTTGCATTCCCATTCTAAAATAGCCAAGTAAGCTGGGATCCACCTATGGTAAACTTTGACTCTTACTGCAGATATTTGCAAACCTGTGCCAGACAGGCATACACTTCTTTAGAAGTAGAGCAAGCACCCTGCAATGGGGTAAAAAGCATTTCAGAAAATCATCAAAACATGGGAAACATGCCTTGGCATGTCTGACAGATCCAAGAGCTGTTGATTTACATATCTTTCTCTTAGGCTTTTCTCTATGGCTATGTCTAGACTGCAGGTTTCTTTCAGAAGAAGCTCTTCTGGAAGAGATCTTCCGAAAATCTTCTTCTGAAAGAGAGCATGAAAGAGAGGTCATCGAGTCCAGCCCCCCGCCCTCAAGGCAGGACCAAGCTCCGTCTACACCATCCCTGACAGATGTCTATCTAACCTGTTCTTAAATATCTCCAGAGAGGGAGATTCCACCACCTCCCTTGGCAATTTATTCCAATATTTGACCACCCTGACAGTTAGGAATGTTTTCCTAATGTCCAATCTAAACCTCCCCTGCTGCACTTTAAGCCCATTACTCCTTGTCCTGTCCTCAGAAACCAAGAGAAACAAATTTTCTCCTTCCTCCTTGTGACACCCTTTTAGATATTTGAAAACCACTATCATGTCCCCCCTTAATCTTCGTTTTTCCAAACTAAACAAGCCCAGTTCATGAAGCCTGGCTTCATAGGCTTCTCTAGACCTTTAATCATTCTTGTCGCTCTTCTCTGTACCCTTTCCAATTTCTCCACATCTTTCTTGAAATGTGGCGCCCAGAACTGGACACAGTACTCCAGCTGAGGCCTAACTAGCGCAGAGTAGAGCGGCAGAATGACTTCACGAGTTTTGCTTACAACACACCTGTTAATACAACCTAGAATCATATTTGCTTTTTTTGCAACAGCATCACACTGTTGACTCATATTCAACTTGTGGTCCACTATGACCCCTAGATCCCTTTCCGCCATGCTCCTTCCTAGACAGTCGCTTCCCATCTTGTATGTATGGAACTGATTGTTCCTTCCTAAGTGGAGCACTTTGCATTTCTCTTTATTAAACCTCATCCTGTTTACCTCCGACCATTTCTCTAACTTGCTAAGGTCATTTTGAATTATGTCCCTATCCTCCAAAGAAGTCGCAACCCCACCCAGTTTGGTATCATCTGCAAACTTAATAAGAGTACTCTCTATCCCAATATCTACATCATTGATGAAGATATTGAACAGTACGGGTCCCAAAACAGACCCTTGAGGAACTCCACTTGTTATCCCTTTCCAGCAGGATTTAGAACCGTTAACAACAACTCTCTGACTACGGTTATCCAGCCAATTATGCACCCACCTTATCGTGGCCCTATCTAAGTTATATTTGCCTAGTTTATCAATAAGAATATCATGCGAGACCGTATCAAATGCCTTACTAAAGTCTAGGTATATGACGCACTTCTTATCCCATTCCAGCAGGATTTAGCACCGTTAACAACAACTCTCTGACTACGGTTATCCAGCCAATTATGCACCCACCTTATCGTGGCCCTATCTAAGTTATATTTGCCTAGTTTATCAATAAGAATATCACGCGAGACCGTATCAAATGCCTTACTAAAGTCTAGGTATATGACATCCACCGCTTCTCCCTTATCCACAAGGCTCGTTATCCTATCAAAGAAAGCTATCAGATTAGTTTGGCATGATCAGATTAGTTTGGCATTGACTATCAACAAGTTTATGCTCTAAATTAAGCAATAATTTCTAACATCAGAGGAGTGAAATTCTGCAATAGCATTCCAAGAGGAGCAGTGGAGGCAAACAAACTGACTTCACGAGTGAGCTTGACAAGTTTGATTGTGTGTGCAACTGCCAGTAAGAA